AAAACATTGCTCCTCTCTTCCCCTCTGTCACTTGTGTTCTAGTCAGTCTGTTGTGTGTATAGGCTACACGTGCACATGTCCGTCTGTCTCGCGGAAGGGCTAGCTTTGTTTCGTATTATTTAATTGATGACCTCTCACATGGAACGGAGATTAAATGTTTCATTATTTTCTGAGTGTATTTTTGTACAAAATCTATCGAGGGGGTGTCAATCGGTGAATATCGCTGTTTGGATTTCCGATTTTTAAAGCCAGGGGGTTGGGTTGTCTCCAAAATCTGCCCCCTAAACATGTTTACAGTGTCAATCCACAGGCTTCTTAAAGAGACAGTATCTGCATTTCAACGACCAATCGTCATTAGCCTACAATGAGTGCGCTGAGTGAGGTTGTATGTAGCTGCAGCAGCGACAGCTGCGATTTATCGCGTCCTTATTGGGGATACTGTACTTTTTGAATACCAATTTCTTTGTGCTTTTATAGTGACACATTTCGGTTTGAACCACTGGATGGAATTACAGATACGGTGGAAATGCCTATAATTCATGAACAATGAAGTACGTCTTCACTCCATAATTGTACAAGGATATTTAATCTTTTCTACTTGTTGGCTAAATGTAGCTAATTGTTTTAGTATATTATGGCATGGCGAATAGCATTTTGTATTTCTGAATTCAGGTTTATGTAGAGCAGTTGTGTTTAAGGCAGAGGATCAACATGAAGATTTCTATGTACATTGTGAGTGTAAAATAAGTAAAAGATTGCGTGTTTATGTCTGACGATGATATATCATGACAGGAACAAAGAACATATATCTTTATACATCCCTATGTTTAAGAGTGTTGTTCATGACTTTTGGAATATATAGATATGTTTTATTGTTTCATTTTGTGCAATATGCTGTGTACAATATTGTTTTGTCTTGCCATACCATATCTCAACATTTGAGTAGTGAACTCAAAAGCCAGCCAATTGTGTCAAGTCACTGCCTGTCAGACCTCTGTACAGAACTTTGTCTTTTTCCAAGAAGGAAATAAAATCAGCTGGAACTGAACGTCAGTTGCACGACTCTTTCTCTTTGTATTTTATTTCTTTTAATAGAATTCAACACTTCACAAAACTTCAAAAATAAAATAATTCTGCACCATGTGCATTTTTGGGAGCAGTACTGCACCACAAAGGTAAAACACAGTAATTACAGCAACACTAAAACAGAAAATGGCTTCACGGATTTCTGATTTATTCAGTATCACACTCTGATTCACCACAAAGTAGCCACAGGACAATTTATGATCTACACTCTTAAAAATAAAAGTTCTTTACTGGCATATATATATATAAAGTTCTTCACACTAATAAAAAATGGTTCTTTAAAATAATTTTTCACTTAATGGTTCTTCTATATGGCATCACTGCGAAAAACCACTTTGGAACCTTTTATTTTAGAGAGTGTAAGGGACCTTATTTTGTTTTACCTTTGCACAGCAGAGCAATAAAGAAAAGGCTAAAAGGTACATATTAACATTTTAAATGTGCTTATTAGTACCTAAAATGTTCATATGAATACCTTTTTTAAAGCATACAACCCCAGATTTATGCCTTTTTTTCAGAGAGTGTAAGTATGAGTGCTCAAAAAGGTAATTTGTGTATCAGGATTTTGATGCTTTAAAGACATTTACTCTAAAATAGCTGATAATTAATATTATTTATTAATTGCACTTACACAGTCACCTGCACCAGCTCTGCTTTTGTATGTCACTCTATGTGAGACATATGAAGCGATGCATGGCCAAAAGATTGACAGTCAGGCCCACTGCAACCTGGAGTCACAAGGAACTCACATAATGATATTACGATACTGTTTCATTTCTTTGGTCCCTGGTAAACATCCCTCCCCCCAGTGTTTTTTTTTTCCACAATAAGACACAGGCACGTGGGTAGGCAGCTATCAGAGGCGATCCAGACATTACAAACATGCAATAATCACATTGCATGCCTGCAATAGATCAGATGGTTTGTCCGTGTCTCAAGAGCTGAGTGTTCCAGCAACTCGGTCTGAGTCATTATCTAGCATCATCCCGACTGATAGCGCAGGGTGTGAACCTAATGCCCTAGTCGAGTGTGAGCATGGATGCACACTGCAGCAAGAGGGTCTAGACATGGGCTCTGTGGGGGAGGAGTGTGAGTCAGATGAGATGTCTCTGCCGGGAGGCTACATTGGGGACGCTCAAGTGGATTGTTCAGCAGGGATGACTGCTGAAACCAATTAATTCCTTCTGGGTGCACTGGTTTGTGTCGGGAACGGGGAGGGGGCTCTCGAAAGATTTTGTGTTAATCTGTTTACATCCCCCAAATGAGAAAAGAGACAGGAAGCCGTTTTAATACCACAGTTGTGCAAAGTTAAGATATGAATGTATAAGTCTGTCAAGCAGACTTGGATGATGGATTGTGTTGGGGTGCCGGTTGCAAGCTCATGAATCCATGTTTCTTGCAATGTACTGACTTGTTATCTGGAGTCAGTGACAGGCAAAGTTTGAAGCTGTATGTGTTTGTGTGTGTATATATACTGTATATGTATATATGTATAAACATATATATATATATATATATATATGAAAGTGAAAAAAAGTGAAAGTGACGTGACATGTGGCCAAGTATGGTGACCCATATTTGGAATTAGTGCTCTGCATTTAACCCATCCAAAGTGCACACACACAGCAGTGAACACACACACCGTGAACACACACCCGGAGCAGTGGGCAGCCATTTTTTGCTGCGGCGCCCGGGAAGCAGTTGGGGGTTCGGTGCCTTGCTCAAGGGCACCTCAGTCGTGGTATTGAAGGTGGGAGAGAGCGCTGTACATTCACTCCCCCCACCAACAATCCCTGCCGGTACGAGACTCGAACCCGCAACCTTTGGGTCACGAGTCCAACTCTCTAACTATTAGGCCACGACTTCTATGCATGTATAGATACATACATACACACATACACAAATCTTGCATAATTACTTTAAATAAAAGGGATAATAAAAATTGCACATTGTTATTATATTTTATTATTATTAATTTTAGTACTACCCTGAAGAGTCTTTTTTTCTAATGTTTTTTAAATGTATTATTTTGTCTTGTGAAATGTGTGAATTAGTCTATTCAGGGCGGTACTAAATAATCTTTATTGCATTTTTTATTATTATTTTTTTTTTTACCATTTTGCAAGGTGAATGTCTTTATGTATTAAATTAAATTAATTAACAAGATCACACACACAATATATAACTTTATAGCATTAACAGAAGGCAGCACAGATGGTTCAAATTAGTGCACTTATCGAGATTAGTAATATTTACACTTATCCACATACTATGGTTGGCACTACAGTCCAATAAGCTGTCATAAATTTATATTTATCTATATAACCACCCTAAAGCAATTTACTCAAAAACCAAGCCCTCAATACACTCAGTGACCTTAAATATATTCATTGATGTAGGCAGAAGGTGATTATTGTTATTATTATTATTATTATTAAAAAAACGTAGACAAATTTCACAAACGTCTGTAGGTGTAATTCCGTTAAGTGCATGGTATTGGACAAGGGGTGGGGTCATGGTGAAAGGGGCGTGGTCAAGCGAGCTGTCTCGCACGTGCAGACAATGCACTATCATCAATACAAGCCAAACATCCGAACGCTGAAAGTTTTGCGCTTTTGGATTATAACGACAAAACGAGATCACGCCTCAATGGACTTTCACGCGTTTTAGATAAAACTCTTCGAGGATAACTTCCTGACATAGGTAAACGATTTTGAATTATTTTAGCGGGAGTTTTGGTGCGTCTGCTCTCAAAGTTGAGCACAAAGGGGGAGTGGAGTATTCCTTTGTTCATCATGTTATGAACTGACTGCTCACAATCTTCACTTGGCCACGCAACAGTGGGATGAGAACATGATAACAGAATGGAATATCAGTAATTTACTGGATGACTTTTCATAAACCTGGCCTGATTGGGAATTTTATTTACTCATCACAATTAACACGAAGAATAATCAACAAAGAATGAACTCACGTACATTTTGGTCCATTTGTCTTAAACCGTATAATCATATTAATTCGGGTTTTTAATAATTAGAAATCAGGTTATTAATATAGTTTTTTTTTTTTTTTTTTTGAGAATTAGGTTAGCAACAGGCAGGGATGGGCAGTATTTGAAATGCATGTATTTGAAATACAAAATACTATTTTTTTTTTTTTGTAAACATGTACATGTATTTGAAATACTATTTTGTATTTAAATACCTTTGGGAAAAGTCAAATGTATTTTGTATTTAAATACATTTAATCATAGTATTTTTGTATTTAGTATTTTTGTGTACTTGTTGATCCAGGAAATCAGCAGTCTAATTAAGAGGTTGATTGGCAAAAAGTATTTTTGTATTTTGAAAATACAAAAATACTAAGCTTAAATGTATTTAAACAAAATACAAAATAGTATTTTGTATTTCAAATGCATGTATTTGAAATACTGCCCATCCATGGCAACAGGTAGTTTTTCAGTAATTTTGTGTAGCAGTTCTGAATTTTTAAAGAAAATTTGCGATGTATTTCTTTTCATGATTATGTTTTGATATCTGGAATGATTCCCCCCATTTAACTTGTCACAATAATTAAAATAACAAGGCAATCTATTTTTCGATTTATTTGTTATAATTGAAATATTCTTAAAGGTTATCATTTGAACATGTATTGTAATTGTAATCAGGAACAAATCTGAGAAAGGTGGAAACGGGTCATTTAAATATAAATGATCACAAAGTGAGTTAGAGGATCAGAATTGATGTAGGCAGAAGGTGATTATTGTTATTATTATTATTATTATTAAAAAAACGTAGACAAATTTCACAAACGTCTGTAGGTGTAATTCCGTTAAGTGCATGGTATTGGACAAGGGGTGGGGTCATGGTGAAAGGGGCGTGGTCAAGCGAGCTGTCTAGCACGTGCAGACAATGCACTATCATCAATACAAGCCAAACATCCGAACGCTGAAAGTTTTGCGCTTTTGGATTATAACGACAAAACGAGATCACGCCTCAATGGACTTTCACGCGTTTTAGATAAAACTCTTCGAGGATAACTTCCTGACATAGGTAAACGATTTTGAATTATTTTAGCGGGAGTTTTGGTGCGTCTGCTCTCAAAGTTGAGCACAAAGGGGGAGTGGAGTATTCCTTTGTTCATCATGTTATGAACTGACTGCTCACAATCTTCACTTGGCCACGCAACAGTGGGATGAGAACATGATAACAGAATGGAATATCAGTAATTTACTGGATGACTTTTCATAAACCTGGCCTGATTGGGAATTTTATTTACTCATCACAATTAACACGAAGAATAATCAACAAAGAATGAACTCACGTACATTTTGGTCCATTTGTCTTAAACCGTATAATCATATTAATTCGGGTTTTTAATAATTAGAAATCAGGTTATTAATATAGTTTTTTTTTTTTTTTTTTTGAGAATTAGGTTAGCAACAGGCAGGGATGGGCAGTATTTGAAATGCATGTATTTGAAATACAAAATACTATTTTTTTTTTTTTGTAAACATGTACATGTATTTGAAATACTATTTTGTATTTAAATACCTTTGGGAAAAGTCAAATGTATTTTGTATTTAAATACATTTAATCATAGTATTTTTGTATTTAGTATTTTTGTGTACTTGTTGATCCAGGAAATCAGCAGTCTAATTAAGAGGTTGATTGGCAAAAAGTATTTTTGTATTTTGAAAATACAAAAATACTAAGCTTAAATGTATTTAAACAAAATACAAAAT